CGCAGGTGTTCAACGCGCGTGTCTGGGGAGCGGCCCCGTCCTCGCCCGTTCGCCCTGCGCAGCGTCCTGTGGATGCTTCCCCTGCTGATGCGTGAAGTGCGCAGTTCCGAGGAGCGTGAAATCATCAGGCCAAATGTCTTTTGCAATTGAAATGTCGCATTTCGTGCTGTTTTGAGTGGCGGTTTAACACCTGCCAGGAGCTGGGCAGCCGGGTTTGGGGGAGCGTTATTGTTCTGATGGGATTGGAGACCGGGCCAGAAAGCGCTGACCGCGTCGAGAATGCGTTGCCTTGATCTGGAGCTGAAGCTTCTGCCTTTTTCGTAGCTTGCGTGGAGCCGCCTGACGTCCAGACGTACTGACCTCTATTCAGAGAGCAGTAAGATGGCTCCTGTTCCATTGTCGTCGGGCGCAGGGCAAAGCTGTTATCCTTTAGATAAAGACGTTTGTCTCAGCTGGAGTTTACTTTGCAGCGGAAAATCTTCAGGGACTTTTATATCCCAGAACTTTTGTGGGAGCTGGAAGGCGTCCCTCAGCAGCCTGGGAGGAGTGGCACTAACCGGTATGCAAACAAACTCCCTCGGCCACGCTGCGGCCTTGCTGTAGCCGCCTGTGATGCCTTCCTAAGGAAGGTCAGAGGGCCGCTATTTGGAGAGCAATCTTATCATCTCCAGACAAGTATGCTTTTTGCACAGAATGAGCCTTCTGAAGGGTTCCTCTAATATTACCTTGGAGTCAATGACTTGAAGGGTCCTTACGAGAGAGAGGGAACATTTGTGTCGTACTGCTCATCCCAAAGCAGCTCAAATGAATTGCAAGAGAAAAAAAGGAAAAGAAAAGATGTTTCCAGGCAGTGAAGAACAGCTCCTCTGAGCTGCCGAACGTCTCTTAACGATAGAAAGCAGTTACGGCAGGCAGAGAATTTCCCCAAACAGTAAAAATCAAGGCTGGTAGGAGGTTACCTGGTAACAGGAACCCTGCCATTAGTAAAACCCTGCAGCGTTGTGCTTTCCGTGGTGGCAGACCTCAGCGGCAGATTTTTCTTTCCTCCCCTGAGACCAAGCCGTTGTGTTTTTAGTGCTGGGGAAATACCCGGCGGAGCTTGGGACTAAGATCAGTGTAAAGGCCAACGCAGGCTTGCTGCTGCGCGTCCCGTTTATCGGTGGCCGTATCCTGCCCGGTGCGTTGCCTGCAGGGACTGCTGCCGAGAGGGGAGATTCCCGTTTCTGCTTTGTCATTCAGTTGGCCTTGCCAAGAAAAATAGTTTAGCAGTGCCTATTGTATTCGACAGAAGCCCTCGTGTCTGCTGAAAAGAGCTCTCAGCATATTAAAAGAACCGAGTTAAAATGAGACGGAAACGTCGAGGCTGGTTTTAAGATTAGACCCAGAAAGTTGTGTTCTGTGCTTGTTCCCACTTTGCTGTTTTGATAAGGGAAAGCGAGAGGCTGGTTTCACTTTCTGGTCCTCTAACCCTTGCACAGTGTCGCAGCTTTGATGTTTTCCTCCCCGCGGGCGCAGGGCAGTGCTCAGAGCTGAAACTCTGCTGTCTCCGTTGAGACCCTTGTGGCAGAACGTTTGAAAATCGATTTTTGTTAAAACTGTTGTGCGACACACAGTCTTCGTCTCGAAGGGAACAAGGCAACATCTGTTTACTCTGATCAGCGAACTCGCCGTGATCTCTCCAGTAAACAAACAGGGAAGCTTGCCCTGATCTTGTTTGTGCTTGGTACCCGTTTTCTTAGCCCAAAGGACTTAGATGCTGTTAACTGGTGCTGTTAGTGTGTAGCTACCTGAGATGAGATGATTGAAACAAGCTCTGGTTTCTTGTTACCTTACAGATCCCATTCTCCCTTGGTCTTCCTAGACTCGTTCCTTTACTTTCTAGAGTTGTTCATTATCTAAAACCAGAGATTAGTGCTTTCTCTCCTGTGTTGTGTGCATCCCGGTAAGTCACATTTTCTCTTCCAGCTTCCAAAGAGAACAGGACAAGTGCAAAGGAAAATTGTCTCGCGATGCGTGCGGAGCTCCTGAACGCTTCTGCTGGTTTAGTGGGATTTGAAGTTCGTTTCTCAGTAGCAGTTTGGACTCTGCGTGGCTCAACAGTGGGGACAGAGGGTTTTTTCCTTTTCCGTCCTCTTTTACCAGGACGTGGCACTAGTGGTTGACTGAAATCAGGGATGGGGCTCAGAGATCCCATGGCCTGGTCCCTAAATGGGTCTATTTAGAGGCAGGCTTACCTGGGCTGCAGATCCCACCGCTGCAGTCGCTTGTGGCTTTGTCGACCCATCCCTTTGTCGCTGGCAGCCAGTGTCTCGCTGGAAAATACCGTCCCTTTTAAGAGAGGTGGCAGCTGCAACAGCAAATGGAAGCAGTCCCTGCAGCGTTCGGCACCTCGTTGCACCCACAGCAGCTGGGCCTGCTCCTTCCGTATGGGAACAGGGGTGACGGTGACTGCAGGAGCCTTGCTTCGCTGAGACGAGGCCTTGAAGAGCAGGCGTGAAGTGTGCAAGGCTGGAATGTTTCTGGGCTGACGAAGGGTTCGATGGTGAGGACTCTTGTTCTTTCCAGCCCGGTTTTGCAGCGGGCTGACAATGTGACTTTTTGTCTGGCTACATGTGTATCACGTGGTACAAAAAGTGAAAGAATCTGGCTTCCAAGGCGCGTGATTTCTTGTGCTTCCAGGCA